TCGAACACCATACCATTCTCTTACAGGGACCAATATAGCCTTCTCCTCTCGTAAGGAAGTGAAGAAAAGACTTGGTATTTAGATATGCATAAGAGTGGACAACATAGGATAACTCTTGTGTATGACATTGCCAAACTAACTAAACTATACTTCTGTTGAGGATGTTCAGTGATGATCCTAATATTGACAAATTGAATGGTGGAGTGGATGGATTTAATATAGGTCAGTTGTTTGGGAACTGAATTCTAAATATGGGATTGTCTAACCATCAAAGACACATAGACTATAACATGCTCTTCTTGATGAGCTTAAGAAATTCTAAATCTTAATACTCAAAAGGTTAACAGATTTATTATAGATTATACAATAAAGTTGAGCTATTCCACTAAAGCAATTGGTTATAGAGGAAACTCAAAAGCTCCACTGTAATTGTCATGTCAAAGACTTTGTGATGAGATGAACCCTTCAGCTAGCCTAATAAAGGTAATTACAATAAAGTTGAATTAAGCTAGCCAAATAATTACAAATTAAATCAAATTTATCTAATAACGAGTTTCAGTAAAATGGACTAAGGGAGTTGAGGAACATCTGTTATAGTCAACCTCACACAAGAACTCGGGAATTTTATATTTAGATTGATTTCTATGAACTACCTCTGCTAAAGAAGTCTGTGAAGCTTGAACAAATGGAAGATTTTATAGAACCAAATAGAAGTATTCTAGAAAGTTTAGTAATTGAATATGCTTGTTGCGTCATTTTGTCTGTATTCAGTTAAAATACCAAGCCAAGAAAGAGGAGCATGTGGAAATGTTCACAAGAACCAAGGAATAAAAGACTTCAATGATCACTAAAAACATAGAAAATAGGAAAGCCAACTTGAAGCCAACCTATCAATTTTGACACTTTTCAAAAAGCTATAACTTTGAAAATATTAAAAAAGTTATAGATTCTTTTGATATTCTATGAACTCATGTTAATGATTTGTTTCAATTGCGAAACCTAAAAAAGGGCAATATTTTAAATTTTTTAAATTTTTTTCAAAATTCCTTTTTAAAATTTTGAAAATAAAATTAAGAAGAAAAACATTTTTGAACAAGACAATCTCTGTGGAGTAGATCTTGATAGATGACGCACATCTATCAGATACAAAGCTCATACTTAGATTTAGTGCTAGAGCAAGAAATGATGAATGGTAGGGCGTTTTTCAAGGCTCGTGTAATGTTGGGGCATTTTGAAGGCCCATAACAGTAAGAAATAAATAAATGTTGGGACATTTTTTTTAGGCTCATATCATACGGGAATACAAGATCATTGATTTGAGCAGACATTTATTTAGATATAAGGGTGTGAAGAATGAAAATAGTGAAATAGAGACAGTGGAACTTAACATATATAATTATTTTGTCCATCATACGTTTGTATTACTCTGATGATTTTACATGCATTAATGTTGGAGAGCCAAAGAGTCCCACATATATTCCCACTGAGTTTTGGTATCCTTGTAACACTATACAAAAGCTCTGAACACCATACAAAGAGCTTCCCTGGTTGAAAAATCTAGACAGAGGCCACATGAAAGGATGAATGAGTTGTTAAATGTTTTACGAACCAATAACTATGGTGCTGAACCAATGTTACGATCATATGATGTTTCCATTTTTTACCCAAGATAAAGGTTGTCTTCTACAACCCCTAAGTTTAAAAGTAAGGAATAGTGAAGATTTTTTTCCACATAATGGACGATGGAATTCTGACAGCAAGAAACTAGTGGAGCCAACTAAGATTGAATGATGGGTTGTTGTTAAACCTCTTAGCATGATATGGTACAAGCAGTTTTGTTTGAGATCTGATTAGATGTGGAGACATGAAAGGAATTAGGATATACCATCTTTTTAATGTATTTCAAGAGTCAAATGTTGCTTTCCTATTGATCTTTTCCGAGTTTGGCATAGTTATATACACATGTTTTCTGTTCTCTAGATGAAATCGAGTCATAAGATGGCCAACGAGAGAGGGTCCTCATTCGAAAAAGAAAATACACTAAAATTATATCATTGCACACATTTTATGCATAAATAGGATCATGCCATTCATAAATGCACGGTAACAAATGTAATATGGTATCTTCAGGTTTCCGAAAAGAAAGCTGAAGGTTTAATATATTGAAACTTCAAGATAGGAGTAACCAAAGAATAATGTTAAAAGTTTCCTTGAGTCTGATCTCACCTAAAGAGTAGTAGAGTAAATTCTTCTTATTTCATATTTGGTCTTCCTGAAGAAGCAGCGAAGAAAATCAATCTCGAGTCTGATCTCCCCTAAATAGTAGTGGAATAGATTCTTCATTTTTCAGATTTGGTCTTTCTGAAGAAGAAGTGAAGCAAATCAATCTCGAGTATGATTTCCCCTAAAGAGTATTGATACAGATTCTTCTTATTTCATATTTGGTCTTCCTAAAGAAGCAGCGAAGCAAATCAATTCGAGTTTGATCTCTCTTAAAGAGTAGTGGAGCAGATTCTTCTTATTTCAGATTTGGTCGTCCTGAAGAAACAGCGAAGAAAATCAATCTCGAGTCTAATCTACCGTAAAGATTAATGGAACAAATTATTCTTATTTCATATTTGGTCTTCTTGAAGAAGCAGCGAAGCAAATCAATCTAGAGTATGATCTCCCCTAAAGAGTAATGGAGTAAATTCTTCTTATTTCAGATTTGGTCTTCATAAGAAGCGAAGCAAATCAATCTCGAGTCTGATCTCCTCTAAAGAGTAGTGGAGCTCATTCTTCTTATTTCAGATTTGGTCTTCCTGAAGAAGCAGCGAACCAATCAATCTCGAGTCTGATCCCCCGTAAGGAGTAGTGGAGCATATTCTTCTTATTTCAGATTTGATCTTCCTGAAGAAGCAGCGAAGCAAATCAATCTCGAGTCTGATCTCCCCTAAAGAGTAGTGGAGCATATTCTTCTTATTTCAGATTTGGTCTTCCTGAAGAAACAGCGAAACAAATCAATCTTGAATCTAATCTACCCTAAAGATTAATGGAACAGATTATTCTTATTTCATATTTGGTCTTCTTGAAGAAGCAGCGAAGCAAATCAATCTAGAGTATGATCTCCCCTAAAGAGTAATGGAACAAATTCTTCTTATTTCAGATTTGGTCTTCATAAGCAGCGAAGTAAATCAATCTTGAGTCTGATCTCCTCTAAAGAGTAGTGGAGCACATTCTTCTTATTTCAGATTTGGTCTTCCTGAAGAAGCAGCGAAGCAAATCAATCTCGAGTCTGATCTCCCCTAAAGAGTAATGGAGCAGATTCTTCTTATTTTAGATTTGGTCTTCCTGAAAAAGCAGCGAAGCAAATCAATCTCAAGTCTAATCTCCTCTAAAGAGTAGTGGAGCATATTCTTCTTAATTCAGATTTGGTCTTCCTAAAGGAGCAACGATATGGATCAAAAATTTTCTCGAGTCTGATCTCCCCTAAAGAGTAGTGGAGCAGATTCTTCTTATTTTAGATTTGGTCTTCCTGAAAAAGCAGAGAAGCAAATCAATCTCAAGTCTAATCTCCTCTAAAGAGTAGTGGAGCATATTCTTCTTAATTCAGATTTGGTCTTTCTAAAGGAGCAACGATGTGGATCAAAACTTTTCTCGAGTCTGATCTCCCCTAAAGAGTAGTGGAGCTGACTCGTCTTCCCTTTGATCTGATCTCTCGTAAAGAGTAGCAGAGCAGATCGTCATTTTCCATATTTGATCTTTCTGAAGAGCATTGAAGAAAATCAATCTTGACTCAATCTTCCCTGAAAAGTAGTGAAGTGAATCACAATTTTTCAAATTTGACTACCTGAAAACGAGGAACAGATCACGTCCGATCTACCCTAAAATTGCACTGAAGCGGATTTCCCACTAAAAGAAGAGTCGCCTTTGGATGAAAACTTGTGTCTTTAATATTTGTTCTATTTTCGTTATACGATAATGGACAAAGAGGGGCAGCTGACATGTGTTTTCATCCTAAAGTTTCTTATTGTTTAGTTTTTTTTGTTTTTGTTTTATTTTGGTTATATATATAGTTTTGTAAAATATATATAGTTTTATAAAATATATAGTTTGGAATATATATATATATATATATATATAGTTTGGAAAAAATATATATATAATATATTTTTAAAAATATATATAGTTTTGAAAATAATTTTGGAAAATATATGTATATAGTATAATTTTGAAAATATTTTTGAAATAATATATAATATAGTTTTGAAAATAGTTTTGAAACATATATAATATAATTGAAAAATAAATATAGTATTAAAAATATAATTTATGGTTTTGAAAGTTTATATATTATTATTATTATTATTATATTTATTTGTATTTAATTGTAGGGTTCGGGTCCAAAATCAAGTCTAGAAGTCTGGTAAGTGTCCAAGCCCAACCGGGCTCAAAGGCTTAACCCAGTATGTGAGTCCGTTCAAGGCCCAGGAAGCAACCCAGTAGATCAGGCCCGCATACAAGATAGTTGCTAGGGTTTTGTATCATTCTCCTAGTCACCGCACAGATTTAGACCAATCCAACGGTCCAGATCGAAAGATGCAAGGGTTTTGTATAACCCGAGCCACCGCCATCGATATCACCAAACAATTCAAAGAAAATTTGGGTGCATTAAATGCCCCATCTACCTAAAATCGGCACCGTCCCTAAGAAAGTCACCGCCATAGCCCGGTGACTAAGAGGGCTCATTTCTTCTACCGGTCCGAAAGATGGTCTTAAGAGTCTTATAAAAGGAACTCAACAAAACTAGCAAAAAGAGGAACAAAGAACATGAGATACAAACAAAAACAGACAAAAAATAACCATCAACAACTAAAACAAGCACAACAATCAAACACAACAACAACAACAATAAACAAATGCGAGAAAAACCGGAAAAAGCCTTAGAAAACTGAAGGTAACACTTTGTTTACCTTTTGATCTAGGACAATTGGGTTATTTTTATGGTGTGTGGTGTTCAGATTTGCGTAGAGAAAAAGTCGGGATCATTTTGAGTAATTTTTCAAGTTTTCGGCCACCATGGACGGTGGCCGGCGGTGGTCACCGGCGCCGATGTACGACGATTGGTCGGGTTCGCCATAACTGGCTAGAGGAAGAGAGAGGAGAGAATGGAGATAATTTTTCTCTCTCAAAAATGAAGAGAGAGAAGGAAAAGAGGGAAATGAAAGGTTGAAGGCCAAATGGCCGGTTTAATAGGTATTTATACCCTGGCTAAACGACGCCGTTTAGCAAGGGATCTAACAGTAATTTTCCATATTTGGGTTAATTATGTTTTAGGTCCCTGGAGCTTTGTAACTTTATGTTTTAGTCATCGAATTAAAGTTTTATCTTTTTGTTTTGAGCTTCTATTTTTCTATATTTATGATTTAAACATTGCTTTTATTTATACGCATTTTGGATAAATATCTGATTTAGTCCCTATTATTTTAGTGGTTTATATTTTAATCATTAATAGTGATAATGGTTAAATTACAATTCCAATACTTATTTTGCATGTTAGTCTTATTTATGGCCATAAATTTCATTTTCTTTGATGTTTAATCCTTAAATTAAAATTTTAATTTTGAATAATGTACATATTTATAAATTTATTAATAAAATAAAATTTTTATATATTATTTTATACGAGTAATTTATAGAAATACCCCTTAACTAACAAAGAGTGTATTTCTAAAGATTGCTTGAATAAAATAATATTTTTTATGTTTTAAATGAATTTATTTTTATCTATTGTTATATATTTATTGTATCTAAAATTTAGGGTAATACTATTTTGTATGAGGAATCCATAAAAATATCCCCTTATTTGACTAGGGAGGTATTTTCAAGGATTATTCGTATAAAATAATATCCTCTTTATTTTTCTAAAAAAAGTATCATAATTTAAATATTATTCGATTTTGCCAATTTCAATATTTAGATGACATATAATCGCTTAGGTACTGATTTCGGGCTTTGTGGGGTGCTAATCCTTCCTCTCGCGTAACCAACTCTTGAACCCTTTTTTAAAATGAATTTATGGTCAAACGCATATCAATTTTTTTATCTTTTAAAATTATTTTTCTTAAAATTATTTTAAAATGTATTTTTAGATATTCGACCTACCTAACCCAAAGGTCGATGGCGACTCCAAATTTATTTATTTTCACATTTATTTTAAAACCTAACATTTTCCCAAAATTAAGTTAGATCGATCCTCTATAGCCCTAAAAAGCTGCATGGATCGTTTCAACACATATTTCTTAAGAACCACTACATTTTTATATAGAATGAATACTAGGCCAGACTTACCCATTGTCAGATTTTAAAACTTATGATATTTGCAGTTTAATTTCATGCACATAATATAATTGATTATTTAATTTTTTGGTCATATTTTATGATAGTATTGCATATTATATATATGTGCTCATAGTGTTAAATCCAACAAATAAAAATGGTCTACATTAAACATTAAAAAAAACAAATAAAGGAGGTGGTGGAATCCCTCTCACGTAGAGCATGGTTTCATGATTGGATGATTAGATAATCTTTTTTCGTGATTTTTAATATATGTACCAAATAATTTTTGTGGTAAATGAATTGTTGTTATTTTTTTAAGATCCGAATTCAAGTATCATGATTGTCAAGAGTGTAAATGTTCAATATCAAAAGGTTGAGAATGTTTTTTAAATATTTATTGTTTTGTACTTACTACATATTAATAAAAAATAATGTTGTTTGCCTCACCAGCAAACTAAATAGAAGCCGTCTAATTTTTTTAGCACAACCATAATTTTATTTATTATATAATCCATTTATAGTGGATGCAAAATGGACTCCAATAGTAACCATAGAAAATTCACATCTAACTCCAAAAATGAAAAGAAAGTTCGCAAACTATGAAAAAAAGTTCATATTTCAAAGGCCGATCCGAACCACACTCAAAAACTCAATTGAATACAAGAATGCACAGTAATCATAAATCCCTCATTTTTCTCTAATAGGATTCATCAAACAAAATGTAGCCTTGTAATCATGATTGATAAACTTCATCGAAAAGGCCAACATACTCAAGTGGTAGCAGGTTTTGGCCTGGGATCATTCACTATAGTTGCATGCAGCTGGGTTCATAACTCAAATCTATATAGCCTAGGAGTAGGTTTTGTTTAGCATTTCATCGCACTATTTTTGTACCCAAACAAAAATTTGCTGCAAACCCGATTCTTATTACTCGTGCTCCTTTCGGCTCTCTCTGAGTTATCCAATAACACTACACTTTGAGCACTATTACACCCTGCAGCCTACAATGTATAGCAATGTACTGCAAATCTATAATTAATCAAATTTCATGTCAATCTTCCTTTTTTTTTTAAAGTTTTCTCACACTTTTTAATACAGGTGAAAGCTTATAAACCGAGGGAGGGAAGGCAAAAAAGAACTATAATTGATTGAACTAATCGATTGTTGATTCTTGGTAAAAGGAAAAAGAGAATTTAAATAAAAGAAACCTAGCAGCACGAATTTAAATAGCAGTTCGTTATCAAAATAACGTATATTATATAGCGATAGTGGTACATCTTAAACCATTATTGTTTGAACGCGATATTCGTTAGAGAAAATAACCTCAGTGACTAAAAATACTTTATAATATACGAATTTAACCAATTTTTTTTGGATTTACCAAAATGACCAACAAATTCGTAACGCGAATTCCAATTTCGCAACCCAGTTTCCAATTTCGCAACGCGAATTTGTAAATCGCAACACAGAAGTCAAATTCGCAACACGATAGTCAAATTCGTAATACGAAAGTTAAATGTTTTTATGCGAAACACAATATTAATTTCGCAACACAAATGTAAACAGTATTATCGCAATTCATCTCTAACCTAAAACCCTAAAGCACAACTCAGTCTCATCTCCATCTCTCACTCTCTACGGCGACATCCGTCCCCATATCCGACGAAATCTGTCCACATTTCCGACGAAATCCGTCTATCTCCATCTCTCAAAGCAACCCTCACAACCATTCATGGTCAGAAATGGAAAATCAACCACTGAGGGTTAGTTTTTTTAATCTCTTATTTTTATTTTGAAAATTTTGTATTATTATTAGATTAACCATTTCTCTGAGATTGCTAAATTCATTCGGTTGCTGCCAATATTGCTAAACTGTTTAGTCTTTAACCTTGTGAAGTTAATATTTGTCTTTGTTTTGTCTTTTTGTTGAAGAAACCCTAAATCGCAACACCAAATTCGCAACGCGAACATGAAAATCGCAACGCGAAACTAAAATCGCGTTGCAAATTTAAGTTTCAGAAACTTCTTTTATTCTGCAAATTGAAACTTGAATAAATTGCATTACTTCAACCAAAAAACAAAGACAAATACTAACTTCACAGTGTTGCTAATTTAAGTTTCAAGAATAAACTACTACTCTTTATGTTGTCCTTGAACCTGCACTAAACCTATATGTTGTCCTTTTAAATGTTTATATAAGTGCTTACTTCCGGAATGTTATCTGATGCACTTTGTGAACTATGATGGAATAATGACTTTGGTGAATACCATGCTAGTTTGAAACATATTTGGCTTTGTTTTCACTGTTTAATATCATGTCTGTTTATAGTGTATAATTTGTAGTTTTTGGTATATCTAACTTGGTATGATTATTGTTTTTGTAGAAATTTTTTTCGGCTGCATTGACCTTAAGGAATAAATTAAGCCTAGCCACTAAAATTGCGTCGACGCTTACACCTCTACAAAGAAAATTGTTTGATGATACTTGCTTCGGGCCATGGTTGAAAGTGCAACATACGGGTGGAGATGCTTTGTTGACACATTTGTTTATTCAGATCATGACTAACGATCTACCCGAGGGGGTACAACGTGGTGATGAGGAGATATGGTTTCATTTTCCTCCGGCACCGACGTATACTTGTTTTGGGCGGGAGGAGTTTTGCTTAATCACCGATCTACGCTTCGGACACGACGATGTAGGTCGGTACACTAGTCATATCGCCCGCCCATCATGGTTATATCGGGTTTTTCCTGAGCTGGCAAAGTCGAAACCGAGTATACATGTCGATGACTTGAAGATATTATTTGATAAAGATGATTTTACTCGGATGGATGACCTTGATGTTAGGGGAATTACGTGATGAGGTCGGTGCTTTGCGTCATGAGGTCGGTACTTTACGTAAAGATAATGGTGCATGGCGTGATGAGGTTCGATCTTTACGTGGTGAGGTGGATTTTTTACGCGATGACAATGGTGCGCTACGCGGTGAGGTATCTACCTTACGTGATGAGGTTGCTGCTCTACGCGAGATTGTTTCATTGTTGCAGAATGAGGTTAATACTCTACGCAATTAGGTAAATTTGTTTAATACTATACTAAAAATGCAAATAAATTTTTTTCGGCATTATTTATTTATTTATTTATTTACTGATTTATATATTAATTTATTTTCAGCGGCCCTATAAGGTAGATGCTTTATGTCGAGTTTTTCTTGCACGATGGGGTTCACACATCAGACGTCGTGCACGTGCCATTACGTCTCCGTTCACCCCACTAGTGCCAAGACTCCGTAAGAATAAGCTCGATGCACATATCATCATTCAAGAGGCGCCTCCTATCGTTCAAGAGGCCCCTCTCATCATCAAAGAAGCCCCTCCTACCGTTCAAGAGGTCATCGTCATCGTTCAAGAGGTCCCGCCCGCCGTTCAAGAGCCCGATTCATATGGCGTCATATGTCGAAATATTGATAAACCCCCTCCCGTGTCCGATATGATGGATGTGAGTTGGCTTTCGTATGTGTTACCGGCCAGTACCATTCCTCAGCAGGAGAGGGAAACACTACCGGACACAATTACGGATAATACCCTTTGGGCTAAGACCGCAGTTGATTTTTATCTACATGAGCAGAGCAAGGGGTGTTATTCTGACCTATGCCAAATCGACGATGCTATTCATTTTTTTCTTGATCGGTCTTGGTGGGGTGTTTTATTAGGGGTTGAAGATAATGGCTATCTCGAAGGGGTGGTAAGTCTTATATTCTTCTTATATTTCAATTTTGATTAATTTTTTTAAAATTATTAATAAATTCACTAATATATTTATTTTTTTATAAAATAGCATATTGATGCATGGGTGTCACGTCTTCTAATAATATGGAAATTGAAGAAAAG